ATTGAGGTTACGACAACTTCGAGTTAAACTGATTTCACGGGTTGTCAAAGAGTCCAGCGATTCCTTTTTCCCAGGTGAGCGCCGACTCATTTCGCTTCAATATTCAGGAATGCTCTCGATCTTTTTACGCTTTCATTGCCTCTCGCCCGACGTGTTTTGCACGCCGTTTGGTCATGCGAAATCTCCACGGAAAATCCACGCCTCGCGCGAGGTAACTTTATCCCGATTCTAAAAATAACTCGAGACGAATTACCTATGGAATAGGGTGTATATGGGGGATGCCCTCTCTGTCCCCTTTATAGTCTCTTGGTTTCGAGTAACTCACAATCAGAGACAAAAAACTCCGAAAGTCGCTTCAGTCTTATTATCCCGCCATATTTTAAAGACCAAATCGTGGCTCGTATGCGGCTCTAGCCTGTTCAATTACCGGATGTGACCAGGCATTCGCGGCGCCCAGACTTATTAAAAGCGTGTATACTTTTATCCTTTTTTTTATTAGCCGAAGCTCAATTCGCATTGCAATGATTATTTCATCTTTAACTTTACAGGATATTAAACAGAATGTCTCAGAAACCTTGGCTGATCAAGGCATTTAAAGTAGCCCCTATCCAGCTTTTTGCCGCTATTCAAACAAATAAGTTGTCAAAACAGCAAACAACTAGGTATAGCTCCATTCTTCAGCTTCTGAATCGTTCTCAGACATTTAGCGGTCATCCAGTGTCGACAGTTTCGTCTGAAACCGAGTGTTGAAAGTTATGATACTTAGCACGTCATAGCTGACGCTCTACCATTCCTTACAAATCGCTGTGTATTTGACTCTTTTTGTTTTTAATAAAGTTTTTAAAACGGTATCTCTCTTCTGGTTTTATTGCTAGCAATTATTAGTCGCGTGTTTTAATTGATCCTTGTTAAGTTATTCCAAATTGTTTATATAATAATACGTCAAGGTGCTCTCTTGGGTCTTTCCTGTAGAGCTAATTTGTATTCAACTCTGGGCTTGCGAACTCGCATAATTACCTGTCTAACGGTGCGTGAAACGCTGAGACTGTAATAGTTTTTCCTTTCCTCGAGATAGATAGGAGAAAACGTTAGACAAAATTGAAATAGAGAGTTTTCAGCTCCACTCTGTGTATATGTATTTTGATCATATATATCCGAGTTTTAGAGCTAAATAAGAAAACGTAAACTAAATTGAAATAAAGACTTTTCAACTCCACTTTTTGTATGTGTTTTGTTTATATATCTGAGTTTTAGCGCTAAATAAGATATAGGAAGCCGTTTCTCGCGTTGCTAGGTGATCGCTTTTCTTATTCCTATTTTCCTTTTAATAGACGGTCTGAAAACCGGGCTCAAGTTACTTCACGGGCAAGCCGAGGCAAGTTTATTGTTTCTATTGTACTACAGTGACGCTCAGTAGTAAACCTATCCACTTCATTAGTATGAAGAAAGTCAAAAAATTAGTATGCAGGAAGACACTTACAGATATTAATAAAGGGAATCCACTTTTTGCGAGGGAATCCAAAGGGAATCCACCAACGGGGTTTAATTTTGCTGAGGCATAACTACTGAGAGGTACAAAAAATGTTGTAAATGCGAGGTGATTTTCCACAAATAACAAAAGGAAAAGGGTTGCGAATTCCGCATTCTGGATTCCAGATTCCTAACGTTCCACATTCCACAAACCCTACAATAACATGGCGGACAGTAAGTTCACACTAGCAGCTTAATACAGGAATTGCACCGACCTGTGATTGGAAGATAAAAATAGTATGTCAGTGGCGATGACGTGACAATTCGTTACGTTAGCCGTTTCAAGAGTAACGGTTTTTACACGAAAAAGACACTCCACAGGAAAATACAATATAATATTAAATATTTCTCAAAGACAAACAGTGCAGTATTCTTTTGAAGTCGGCTGACTCGCTAAGAGTCAATGTCTTATCGAAGTTGAAGTTCAACTGTCGCAAATCGGATAACTTCACTGAGTGATTCTGAGATGAAACCTTTCGTCTGCATCCACATTGATCTTAGATTTTACCACTTACATATTGAAGAAAAGCCATAAACAGAGCTTCAATGTCCACGTACACCCGACTGCACCTCGGTGCGATTCCTGCAGATACTGCTGTTCATACTAAATGCAGGAATTGCACCGGACGCGTTCTCGTCCCCAGAGTCACTCTAAGTTGTAACAAAAGAGCACGTGACCAAGAAAGACGGGCTCTGGGAACGAGAATACACCGGACGCTCATTGGTCGAATGCGCAACTTGGCATAAATGAAATAGCCGCGGGAAACTTTAATTGATTTTCTCTCGTTTTGATTTTCGCTTGATAGGACAAGACTTAGGCCTCTGGAAATAACACATCACTTGTATTCGAAG